TAATACTGTAAGGTCTAGACCAGGGGTTTTCAAAGAGTGGAGATGTGATCCTCCCCTCAGAGAACAGTGTGGAAACAGCCCCCCACCCCCAAAAATATTACCTTTATTGTCACTGTTGGTGTAGCCTACTGTGTATTCCACTCAGCCATAACAATGGATTTAAACAATAAATGTAAACATCTTTTAGGCAAACACTTTTGAAACACAATTCTACTCTCAAGGAATATTACATATTGATTTCTTAAAAAATAAATAAATAAAAATCTGTGTTCGGTGTTCTCCCACATTCACACTTAAACTGTGGGATACTCTCACTTATCCTCCACAATCCAATCACAACATGAAAACAAACAACAACAGTCTTACTAAAATAGCTCCTACACACTGTAAGGCCTATTTGTGCAGTTTTTTCAAGTCACGTAATTTTTGAACACATCAAACTCAGTTGCCACCAAACCAAATCATCACTGCACACCATGCACAGCATTGCTTTTCATATGGCCGTCTACACATCATGCATATTTTTTAGCAGAGTGTAACACAATGATTCTTCAAGTGCCTCGGTATTTGCAGTGCTAATGTCTCTTTTACTTTCTTCTGTAATCGCAGTTCTCTAGGTTCCTATCAACAAGCTCCCATGTCTTGATCACCAAAACTATTTACATGGTCTCATACTGTCATTAGCTAGCACCACTTTGCAAATACTGTGGCAGTGGAGCATCATGAGGACCAGTCTATGAAAATCCAAATTTTAAATATTCATCATCATACATCATTTTCTTCTGGCCCCAGACTCTGTCTCCTCTCTCACTGAAGTATTGCAAATTGATCCATTTTGCCCCACACATAAGTTTGTTTACATTTTTCTGGTTTATTTTTTCTCACATTGCACGTCCCCTGAAATCCTATGGACGCCCCAAGGGGAGGTGCACCTCACACTTTGAAAATCACTGGTCTAGACCTTAGTGTATGAAGCACCCCGAGATAATTGTTATGATTTGGCATGATATAAATAAAAATGAACTAAACTGATGCAGTATCAGCCCTGGTGGCAAATGTCAGTGACCAGAAAAGAATGTAGATTATTGATAGTGATATTTGTGTATGTAGAGTGTTCCCGTGTTTAGTGTTTGTTACCTCCTCTGGTTCAGTATCTGGAGTTCTGTCAGTATGAAAAGACAAAGATGATCCATCAGAGTCCACCGATCCTTCTTCATCATAACCATAAAACGTCTCTATGACCTGCACGCACACACATACACACACACACCCACACCAATTCAATGAACCCACCAGATGGTGATGCAATGCATTCAAGGCATCCTCCTCTACGTTTCCACATCACAAACAAACTGGAGGTTCTTGTCAGTTTATACTCTTGAAGACAGATGGACGCAGTACAACCAGCTTGTAACTGACACAGTTTTTACTGACATCAGCATCTCAGGTGAATGCTTCAACAAATCTGTAAATAATCTCTACTCAAAGGACCACTGACCACTGGAGAAAAAAACACTATTTCAGAGCTATTCACTATAAAATGTGACTGTACTGGTAGTAGTAACATCAGTATTAGCAGTAGTAGCTTTGTCAGGTCTTCTACAATGCATTGTTTCAGTAGAGGCAACTTTAGCAGTAATACTTCTTTTACCACTACTAGTACCACTAGAAGCAACAGCATAGTACTGTCCTACAAGAGCAAAAGACAGTAACTACATATTTGATCTACACTGAACAAAATTATAAATGCAACACTTTTGTGTTTCCCCCCATTTTTTATGAGCTGAACTCAAAGATCTATGACTTGTTCTATGTACCCAAAAGGCCTATTTCTCTCAAATATTGTTCACAAATCTGTGTTAGTGAGCACTTCTCCTTTGCTGAGATAATCCATCCACCTCACAGGTGTGGCATATCAAGATGCTGACTATTGCACAGGTGTGCCTTAGGCTGGCCACAATAAAAATGTGCAGTTTTACTGGATGGGGGGTGGGCATTATCATGCTGCAACATGAGGTGATGGTCGTGGATGAATGGCACAACAATGGGCCTCAGGATCTCGTCACGGTATCTCTGTGCATTCAAAATGCCCCATCAATAAAATGCCTGTGTTTGTAGTCCATAACATACACCTGCCCTGCCCATACCATAACCCCACCCATGGGCTACTTGATCCACAACGCTGACATCAGCAAACTGCTCACCAACACGACGCCATACACGCTGTCTGCCATCTGCCCTGTACAGTGACAACTGGGATTCATTCGTGAAAAGAACACCTCTCCAGAGTGCCAGATGCCATCGAATGTGAGCATTTGCCCATTCAAGTCGTTACGACAACGAACTGCAGTCACGTCGAGACCCCGATGAGGACGACAAGCATGCAGATGAGCTTCCCTGAGATGGTTTCTGACAGTTTGTGCAGAAATTCTTTGGTTATGCAAGTTTGGTTATGGTGTTGCAGCAGCTGTCTGGGTGGCTGGTCTCAGACGATCTTGGAGGTGAAGATGCTGGATGTGGAGATCCTGGGCTGGTGTGGTTACACATTGTCTGTGGTTGTGAGGCCAGTTGGATATACTGCCAAATTCTCTGAAACGCCTTTGGAGACGGCTTATGGTAGAGAAATGAACATTCAATTCACGGGGGCAACAGCTCTGGTGGACATTCCTGCAGTCAGCATGCCAATTGCATGCTCCCTCAAAACTTGCGACATCTGTGGCATTGTGCTGTGTGATAAAACTGCACATGTTAGAGTGTTCTTTTACTGTGGCCAGCCTAAGACACACCTGTGCAATAATCATGCTGTCTAATCATCATCTTGATATGCCACACCTGTAAGGTGGATGGATTATCTCGGCAAAGGAGAAGTGCTCACTAACACAGATTTAGACAGATTCGTGAACAATATTTGAGAGAAATAGGCGTACATAGAACAAGTCGTAGATCTTTGAGTTCAGCTCATGAAAAATGGGGGCAAACACAAAAGTGTTGCATTTATAATTTTGTTCAGTGTAAAAACTGGATCTGGCTCTTTGGCATCAAAAACTAAAGCTAGTTATAGCTATCAATTTTTCAGCAGTTGTGTTAATGAAAAATATCAAGTTTGAAGAACTGATATGTTAATTATTTACATTTGTTAGTGCAGGAGCTAAATCAGTTCATAGTGGCGATGAAGAAAAGAACAGCTAGACCTTTCTAAACTTAGGGTTAAGTATTAGGTTAGGCTAGCTTAGCAGATCTGAAGTTATTTTCATGTGATCTGGTTTCAAACTGTCTTTAAACACTAAATAATAATCTAACAAGGTAAAAAGTATCAGGAAGCTGAGAGAACAGTTTGTTGACAGATACTGCAAAATATCATCCAAGTACATATCTGCAGTTTTTACTCAGTGGTTTCTGAGGTAATACAATTAACAACATCAAAATAACAGCCTTTCTGTTGGACAGTTTTGCTATCCAGTCTGAAAAGTGTAAACCATTTTTCCAGCTTCACTGCTTTTATGGTTACTGTCCTGAGGACCAGGTAGTAGCAATGGAAATAACAGAAGCACTAGAACTGTATTAGAAGTAGCAGTCATAACAATAACCTCAGTAGTAGTGGTATTAGTAGTAGCACTAACAGCAGCTATAGTAGTCACAGTTCTAATAGTAGTAGTGACAGAAGCAGTAGTAGCAGACCAACAGTAGTGTATGTATGTATGTATGTGGTTTCACAGAAACAAACAACAATGTGAACAAACAAATGATAAAACCATATGTTCAGTCTCACCCTGCAGGCTCTGAAGGCCCGTTTCCTCCTGACTGACTCCTGACGTCTGTATCTCAGTAGCATGTCTCGCTCCTGCAGGGGTAATGCACACAAAAATCACCCTATCATCATCAGCAGCAGCACAAACACTGCACCGTATTCACCAGCAAGTTTCTAACAAAACATAAACATGTTTTAATTACACACATCCTTGTTCATTAACCCCTACAGCATGGACTGTATAAGTACAAATAGTTGTACTACTACAGAGATCAGACGTAGTGCTCTGTACTTACTATAACATTCTTCACATAACCAGCTGTCTCCAGAGCCTGAAACCACAAACCCCGTTTTATTTTAAATAGAGTACTTAGAACACAGCAGCAGTAAGCAGTAGTACCTTGAACAGGTGGTCGATGATGTGACGATGTCGTGCCAGTATTAACAGCAGTAGTAGTGCTAGTGGTAGTAGTACCTTGGGCTGGTTGTTGATGATGTGCTGGTGCCATAGCAGTATTAACAGTAGTAGTAGTAATAGTAGTACCTTAGATAGGTCATCGATGATATGCTGCTGCTCCAAGACCTGTAACTGTAGAAACTCTATCTCTCTGTCGCCCTGGCTATAACCATGGTAACTGGTGGATTGGCTGCGGTCAAGGTCATTTAATGAACTCGGCCTCCTCTGTGGACAACAAACACTACTGTTACTATGGTGACACTGGTAAACAATGTCTTCATGCTACTGGTGACCGTCTGAAACTGAAGACATTTCCTTTCTGAACCTAGCAGTTGTTCGGCTGTAGTTTTTAAAGGTTGATTCATATGATTTAAGCACACTATATCACATGATTCATAAGTTGCAGAGACCATTCCATTATGCTAGGCTAGTTAACTTTTAGCAGGATGTTGTGGTGTTACTTGTTTTCTTTATTATGATCCAACATTTAGCTAGTGCTGTGCTTCAACATGCCGCTGTTCTTATTTTTTCACAAAAAATACACTCTTCTATGGCATAAAAATGTTTACATGGCAAGGTGTCAAAGTCTGATTCAGGTCTTAATTGTGACCTAGATATGTAACTCCCATGTTTTGTTTTTTTTAGAGCAGACTAATCTTTATTAGTTACCTGTCTTAATAAATTACAAATTAGTATTTTTAAACCTTCTTTCTTGATGCTCAGACACTGATATCTGTGTAGTCCATTTAACTGGTCTCAGTCTGGTGCTTTATCATTGGTTTGACTGGGGGACTACCAGCTCTCAGACTGTGTTTGTCAGGTCAGGGGTTCCATAGTTACCATCTCCAGGTTCTCCTGGGTGACAAAGCGAAGCTTGTTATCAAGGCGTCGTAGAGCGAGAGCCAGCTCCTCGTTCTTCCTGCTCAGACGCTTGTTTTTGTCCAGAAGAGGAAGAAACTGACTCTCTGCCTCTCGCAGACGCTTCAGCTACAGCCGGGGGAGGTGAACAAAGAAAATATAAAATACAGAAAATGAAGAAAGTACAGAAAAAAGGAAATGAACACAAAAAGAAAGTGTTTTTCCATTAGCACAGGTCAGCTTGCTTTAATTGAGCTGAGCTGGGTGGGCACAGATTGACCTTCGTTTCCATCTGTTCCTAGCAACAGAGGGTAATCATGCTAAGCTAGGCTGAGCAGGCCCTGCCTACACACGGGCTGATTGGGGCCAAGCTCTGCCTTCAATAAAACCGTCTCACCGAGACATGAGTGGCTGGAATATTGTGCCAAGGGAATGTCCTTACACATTCAGCAGTCACTTTTACTTGTAATCTTACTGCAGCAAGATGTGAAAATGAGTCTCTCACGCGGCCTAAAGTTATAGCATAAATGTAGTGAGGGTAAAAGTACAATATTTGTCTCTAAAATGTAGTGAAGTCAAAGTATGAAGTAAAGTGAAAATACAGAAAATTAAAATACTCAAGTACAGCCTCAAAATTATACTTAAATACAAAACTTGAGAAAATGTTACTTGTCACCACTGTTTCTGATTATATCTTGTTTTGACATCGTGTTAGAATAGAAATAGAAAGCCTGCTGTTTGGCTTTACATGAAAATTCAGCTCGTTTCATCCATGTTTACACAACCAGCTGCAGGCCAATTAACTAAGGAGATTTCACCTGTGCGTAATGATTAAAAAAAGCAGTTGTACTGTGAGATTGTGGCACTGCCGAAAGCCGGATGGCTGAAAATGTTCTATTCTCTAGCAGAATTAAGTGATTTCTTGCCACTGAGTGTGATCCTAATTTATGATTACTATGTGGACTTGAGAGCCAATTGTTGAGTTGACCGTTGTTGTGGAGAAATTTCTGCACTGTGACAAAGTTACTACACTGTGAGCATTAGGGAAAGGATTGGGTGTTAGACATAGTTGTGGTGGTTAAGGATAGTGTTAGGGGCTAGGGGGATGCATGACGTAAAAGAGGGTCCTCATAAAGATAGAAATACCACAATATGTTTGTGTTATCATGTACGTATTACCAGTTCGTTGCGTTCCTCTGATAGCAGAGCATTTCGATCCTCCAATTTTCTGACAGCTGCGCTGAGCTCAGCTATTTTTAACTGAAACCTCCGAGTGTCCCGGTCCTCCTGAGACTGCACACATGCACACACATGCAGTCTGCATTATGAATTACTTCAGGTTCCTGTTGTGAGTTTGCTTCATGTTTCTCACACTCAATGCTGGAGACTGACAGATAAACTGAAACAGGTCAACAACTGTACAGAAAAACATCTGGTTCATTGATTAAATATTCAGGTAATTTCTGGAGAATTTACTGATGGACTGCTGAAGAGACACTGATCGCTAGGAAGTTGTTGAATGTCAAAATGTTAGTGTGTTTAAAGGTATAAAAGCGGAGCCAACCACAAAATTACAAAAGAAAAAGGCGGCACAAGCAGAAAAAAGGGAGAAAAGTTGAACAGTACAAACAGCTGTACAAATGAAAGAAAGTAAAGTAATATTTTATGACAGAAGAGAAGTGTGAAAACAATTTGATGTATGAATTGTTTATAAAAGCTCAGAACTGACAGAGAAGAATAGAGAAGAGAAGGAAGGAGCTCTTAGAAAGACAGAAAACAAGAAGAAAATGAGGAAGAAGCATTAGAGAGAGGACTGAAATAAAGAAAGGTGTAAGAAAGGAAACAAAGCAGCAAGGAAGGGTGGAAAAAAGAGGAAGGAATATAAAAGGAAAGAATAAACAAAGAATGAGAGAGAAAATGGCAAGAAGAGGGTGGAAGCAGAGGAAAGAGATAAAAGAAAAAAGAAGAATATGAGGAATAAAGGAAATAAGAATAAAAGGAGAAAAGAAAGGGGGACAGGAAGCATGGAAGGAAATAAGGATGAAAGGAAGGAGGAATAAAAGCATTCTACCAAGAAGGTCGGGCTATCTATTGTTAATGTTAGAAGTATTAGTAACATTCAAAAGTAGTAGTACTGTCAGAAATACTAATAATGTGAGTAGAGGTAATGAATGGGACAGTACTGGCAGGGACATTGCAGCAGTAACAGGTGAAGACATGTCATGGATTAGAAGAAACTCAGTTACACAGATACTGACTGCGTGTCAGTTAACATAGAGAGACACAACAAACAAGAGATGCATCATAGTGTGGCCAAAGGTTTGTGGTTAGACCATTCATTTTTATGATAATTATATTATCCAGGAAACTCCTGAGTTTCTTTTTTAAGTAACAGTGAAATGATTCAGAAACTGCAGCTCCTCACACTGACATGTTATTGGATAAATCTGAAGCTCAGGAATTACATTCAGTGCCTATGCTGTGACAGAGGGAGTAGTGTCCTTTTAAAGCAAGGTCGTCTGTAAGGGTCAAAGTAGCACTTTCTATGTAAAAGTGCAGACTGGCAGAAGATTAATGGCCACCTCACAACTCTATTGCTGGTGAATGTTTTAATTTTCCAGAATCTTCCCTACCTCCACTCAAGGCAACTGACACACACACACAAGTGACAGAAGCCTTAGCATCTGCCACTTTCTGTGGCACTTTCAGTGGCAGCTGATGAGATGCCATGATAGCAGCTGGCAAGACAACACTGCTACTGTTAACTGTAAAAATGCAACAGTAAGTGCTGCACAGGATCTGCTGCTGTACTGGTGAGATGGCTGGTTTTTACTGTGGCTGCTGGCATGATGCCACTGCTGTTGGTGTCCCTGCCTGAGATTTCTGGCAGGAAACTGTCAGCTTGATCAACATTATGAATGGATGGATGGATGAATCAAACACACAACACAATCTGTGGAATACTAGGTAGCCAAGGATCCACCTGTGTGATGAAGGCCTCAGTGCCTGAATGTGCTCATGTGCTTGATGATGTCATGGTGGGGAGGAGGAGCTTGAAGATATCATTATGAACTGAGAGACCTGGGAATATGTAATGAAACTGTAGGTTGTAGGTAAATCTCAGTTCCCTTATTTTATCGCTCCTCACTCAACCTGGAAGTCCTTCTGGTCTGCAGTGATGAAGGACATCTCAAAGCTCTTATTTCTGCTCTGGGAGCAAGGACCAAGAAGGCTGCCTGGAGGAGCTACAACCGAGGATACATGAATGCATCCTTTGTGGAACTCTATTACAGATTGACACAGCCCTTTATCAGAAATCAGTTTGTGATTCGATGCTTCACATGAAGGATAAGAGGAAAAGACACCCACATCACTTAAAACATGTTTTCTTGGCTCTTCTCTCCTCACAGTTTCTCCTAAATGTGGTTAGGTGGACTGGGATTCACCATGTGACATGTGAATGAGGTGAGTTTATATCATGCAGGAGGAGGCGGCGCTTACAATGTGAGGAGCAGAGTTAGGGATGGGGCTAGCAGCATGGCCAGGAGGGTTTAGTCCTGCCCTCTGTGCATCTCTCATGGCTGCAATTTGCTGCTCAGCTGCCTGAGTCTGCAGCTGGAGGCGATGAGCGTGTCCAGCCTGCAGCCCCAGAGCTTTATCCAAAACACTGACAGCTCTGTCCTTTAGCTTTATCTCATCCATCTGCACACAGACAGGTGAGAGACAGACATGAAGACAGACAGGGAGACAGATGAGAGACAGACATGAAGACAGACAAGTGAGAGACAGTTTAGAGGTGGGGTTAAACAGGTAGAACTACAGGTTAAGCTTATGGTAAGGGGGTAGGGTTAATGCTAGGGTTAGTGCTATGCTGTGGGTGGTTGGTTGCTCTGGTTTACAAACACTAACAAAAGTTCATTTTATTTTTTTTTATTTAAGATGAAAAATATCAATGTAAAATCCCTCAAGTAAACATGAACCTGCAGCTCAGACCAAATGTTCTATCTCTGACCTGTTGTTTTCAAACCAGTTAAAGGGCCTTCAGGTGAACCGCTGACTACCTGAATATGATTCTAATGCCAAGAATCATGAAACCAGGACTGTAATCCTAGTTCTCTGATACTCTTGAGTGGAGAGGTGTTTTCTGAATACAGCAGAATTACTTCTGTTTGAGAGATGCACAAGACCTGTGTGCACAATTTTCCATGAAACAGCAAGTCACTGTGAAGAGCAGTGAGATGACTCCACATGGCAGGTCCGCTCGGCGTGACCTCCCTCTCTTCCCCTTTCTCTCTCCCGCTGGCAGTCAGATACGGTGATGTTGATGTTAAGATAACGATGCTAACGGTGACACTGACAGTGAGATCGAGTTTTTATGTTTGATGCGGCTACACAAGTTGGAGATCTTCCCTGCCGTGATTATCTCCGGTGATCTACTCTGCTTACCCGATGGCTACTGTTACTCTGGTTACCTGACATTGATCCTCCGTGCCATGAGTACCTGACAGCGATTGCTACTCAGCTCACCTGCCCTATCCTCTGGTTCCTGTGTCCCTCCTGGTTCCTGCCGCTCGCCTGCCTGCTTACCTGCCTGTTCTGGTCTTCTCAGCCTCCACTACTCAACCCTGGTTTGGACAATGCATAACCCATTGACTTTGTCCTCTCCACCTGCTTAAGTTCTTGCAATAAAGACTCTTTTGTTTTCCACCTAGCCCTGTGTTTGCACTTTGAGTCCTCATTCTCTCTCTCTCTCACCTCCTGATGAAGGGACCCAACCGTAACACAACAGTTTTGAACCAAAGTGTCTCCAGTGTGGAGGTACAACCCACAAAACTAAACCACCTGAAATCATCAGTCAGCGGGTTTCCAGCAGAGTGAAGGGGTATGCCCACATTACCCCTGTTCCTTTCTCACTACTTTGAGTGCCAGTACAGTGGAGAGTTGATTTTAAGATGTTGCTAATTGTCTTTAAGGCTATATATGGCCTCACTCCGACGTACCTGTCGGATCTGATATCTATCTATGCTCCGCGCAGAGCTGTGCGCTCCTCAGAGCACTTGTCCTTGGTTGTCCCACGGTCTCGATATAAAAAATGGGGCAACCGTTCTTTTGCTGTGTATGGTCCCAGACTCTGGAATTCTTTACCTCTACAGCTTCGGTCCATAACCGAGTTAGCGGTTTTTTAAAGCTTTATTATTATTATTATTATTATTATTATTACATCTTGTTGATAAAGATGTAGATGCATCTCTTTATGTTCAACTATGTCAGTAAAGAAGGGTCAACTGAACAAAATGATGATTTTACATTTGAAACAAAGTAATTTGTCTGCCTTTGTTACATCAGGGTGAATGAAAAGACTTTTTTAAAATTAGATGCAACTACTGAACAACAAATTGTACTGCAGTGGTTTTCTCTTTACCAGTCGGCGGATCTCCCTTTCACAATCTCTCTTGGTCCTATTCAGCTCCTCCTGGTGGTGGTGATGAGTTGATCGGAGTTCAGCTGCTCGAGCCTGGCAGGCCTGCTGAGCTGATGTCAAAGCCTCCTCAGAGTTCTTCTTTGCTATTCGCAGCAACAACATGGTTTGCTAATCAATAAATAGCTAGCGCTATCTATCTGTTAACGTCGTCAGATAATGTTATGGAAGGGCCTAGTTGTTATGGAAAATAGTAATGTAACTACCCCCATCATTCCTCCTCGGGCAAATGTGTAAATATTAGATGTATTCAGCAGGTGTTATAACGTCAATTGCATTGACATGGTTATCTGACGTTTTCTCAGTGTTGAGTTGTGTTCTTGATAGAGACAGACATATTTTATTTTGGTAAGCAGCCCTGTTAAATTGTGTGTTTTTTGCTATGTAACAAATTCCTGTGTATATGTCGTAGCTCTAGTTTGTTTCTTTTTACGACACTTGTTTTTCTTTTCGACAGTTTATATACAACTACTGACTGGGGAATTCTCTCTCTTGTACTTTTCCCACGGCGACTGATGGAGTGTTACCAGTTGTGCTGTGAAGACGAAATAAACTTGAACCGTGAGAACTATACAGTGTAATCCCTGTGTATTATGGCGAATGAAGCAGAAAACCCAACAGGTTATGGGCCAAGGCACTACACAGGAGGAAAATGGCAGAGATTAGTTTTTGACGGAGATGAAAACAACTACGAACTTTGGGAGGTGAAGTTTCTTGGACACTTGAGGACAATAGGACTGAAAGACACGATAACATCTACTAATGAACCAGATCCAGAAAAGAATTCCGAAGCCTACGCAGAACTTATCCAGTTCCTTGACGACAAAAGCCTGTCGCTGGTAATGAGAGAGGCGGCGGATGACGGTAGAAAGGCCCTAAAAATACTACAGAACTACTACGCTAGCCATGGTAAGTCAGTCTCCCAGTTCCTCCTAGCCTCCTCCACCTCTGCCAGCAGGGCACTCTTTACCTGAAAAATGACAAAACTTAAATTATCCTTCTTATCTCCATGAATCACTACGTTTATGTAGTGCAGGGTTTTGTGTACCCCCATGACCCCATGATCTGTGTTGTCTGGGGCAACAGTTTCTCTCACCCAAACCATTGTGGTCTAAGGCAAGGGGGCAGGAGAGAGCAAGAGCATTTGCAGAACCCTTACAGAACAGTAAATCTTGAAACAAACCATCTCTCCAAGGTTTGGAGAGCCCAGCAGTCCCTCCCAGAGCAGGGCTGAGACAGGAGCTTGCCATCAGGTGCCTGGTGGCCTGGTGAGGGTGAACTGGGAACGTCTGGCTGAGGACCTTGTCTGCAATGTTAACTCCCACCTCTGGCATGAAATTAATTCCAACAGGTAGCGTAGCTCCGACAATAGCATCATGGGTCATTAATCTGCTGGTTAACCAGCAACACATCACATGCAGCAGACACACTGCGTTCCCACCTGCTTTAAGACCACAACCATCGTCCCCCTTCCCAAGAAGAGCCCGGTCACCTGCCTGAACGACTACAGGCCAGTGGCACTCACCCCAATTATTATGAAGTGTTTTGAGAGAGTGGTGCTGGCC